GACTCAGACGCCCACACCGCACAGCTCTGCTGCCATCCCCACGGACGACTGCTTTTATTTATTTGTGTTTCCCACTCCTCCACTCCCAGCTGTGTAAGGTGACACCCGGGGGGGCCCCAAACCCCCCACCCAGTGCCGTCCTGCACGCACACAACATGGGCCCATTTTGCAGAGGGGACTTCGCCCCGTTCCCAACGCAGAGGGGCTGCAGTGCTGCATCACTGCTGGATGTTCCCCCCGCTGCTCTCCCTGTGTTTGCTTCCCCCCCCCAGCCCTCCTCCCTCCCAACACGCCCGGATTCCTGGGCTGCCCCTGGGCCGCCCCTTATCTCAGCAGCGCAAGGCAGCCCGCATTCCTCCTGGGGAGAGAAGGAGCAGCTGCCTGCAGGCCGCCCCATCCCAACGTCCCTGCGCTCACTGCACGCATGGCTTCGTCTGAGCCCCCACCCCGTGGCCTCTGTGCACCCCCACTGCAGCCCTGTGCACCCCCCCACATCTTCCTGAATCCTCTGTGCAGCCCCACTGCACCCCCTGTGCACCCCCCTGCATCCCCAGTGCACCCCTAGTGCATCCCCAGTGCATTCTTTGTGCACCCCCACTGCACCCCTGTGCACCCCCTATGCATCCTCCTGCATCCTCTGTGCACCCCCAGTGCATCCCCATTGCACCCCCTGCATCCCCTCTGCACCTCCTGTGCCCCCCAGTGCATCCTCTGTTCATACTCTGTGCACTCCCAGTGCACCCCCTGTGCAACCCCCTGCATCCTTTGTGCACCCCCAGTGCATCCCCAGTGCATTCTTTGTGCACCCCATGCAACCCTTATGCACCCTGTGCACCCCCAGTGCATCCTCTGTTCATACTCCTTGCACCCCCAGTGCACCCCCAGTGCACCCTTTGTTCATCCCCCATGCACCCCCAGTGCATTCTCCGTGCACCCTTTGTGCACCCCCATTGCACCCCCGGTGCAGATGTTCTCCCTGCTGGTCTCCCTGTGTTTGCTTTTTTTGTGTGTTCCATCACAGCACAGCGCAGCTCAGCTCCCGCCCCCCAGCAGGATCAGCCCCAGGCCGTGCCCCCCCCCCCATCCCATGCACACTGCGTGGTTTTGGGGCGCCCTGCTGACTTTCCCTCCCGCTTCTCCCTGTGTTTCGCTTTCCCCACGAGGTTCCCTTTTCCTGATGGGGAACATCTCTCACTTCCTCTTTGCAGAGGGGCAGCCGTGGGCAGGAGAGCCCTGCGTGATGGGGACGGCGGGGGCAGCACTGCGTGTCAGCTGGGGGGGGGCAGGGCTGGGGGCCGGGGCTGCTGCTGAGCCCTGCGGGGGCACCCGGGGTGGGGGCAGCGATGGGTGCTGCTGGGCAAAGGGCTCCGAAGGACCCCAGGCCTGGGGTTGTTCCGCCGGGCTGCGCAGTGCAACCCGCTGTGTGCCTGGAGACGGGGGTGGGCGCATCGCGGGGTGCAGGAGGTGGGACGTGGATGCACTGCAAAGTTGCACGGAGTAGAGCTGGATTCGTTGCAGAGTTGCATGGAGACAGGGGGTGGATCCACTGCTAAGTTGTACAGAGAGCAGAGGTGGATCCATTGCAGAATTGCGTGGAGACGGGAGGTGGATGCACTGCAAAGCTGCATGGAAAGTGGTGGATCCATTGCTAAGTTGCATGGAGAGCAGAGGTGGATCCATTGCTAAGTTGTATGGAGAGCAGAGGTGGATCCATTGCTAAGTTGCATGGAGAGCAGAGGTGGATCCATTGCTAAGTTGTGTGGGAATGGAAGGTGGATCCATTGCAGAGGTGCAGGGAGGTGGGAGATGGATCTGTTGCTGAGTTGCTTGGAAAAGGGAGGTAGAGTCATTGCAAAGTTGCATGGAGAGCAGAGGTGGATCCATTGCAGAATTGCATGAAGATGGGAGGTGGATCCTTTGCAAAGTTGCTTGGAAACAGAAGGTGGATCCATTGCTAAGTTGCATGGAGAGTAGAGGCGGATCCATTGCAAAGGTGCATGGAGAGGGGAGGTGGGTGCATTGCAGAGGTGCAGGGAGATGGGAGGTGGATCCGTTGCCAAGTTGCTTGGAAACAGGAGATGAATGCATTCAGAGCTGCATGGAAAAGGGAGGTAGAGTCGTTGCACGGAGGTGGGAGGTGGGAGCATTGCAGAGGTGCATGGAAGCAGAAGGTGGATCCATGGCTCAGCTGCATGGCGTGCAGAGGTGGATCCGCTGCACAGCTGCGTGGAAATGGGAGCTGGGTTCATTGCAAACCTGCGTGGAGGTGGGCCATGGATGCACTGCAGATGTGGTGCAGGCTGACCAGTGAGGGTCCCCAGCGCCACGGGTTTATAACGAGGGCTGTTAATGAAGGATGATCTCTGCTGGCTGCTCTGATCCGCGCGCTCAGTTCGTGCGTTTCAGGGGGCTCCCATCCCGAGGGCTGCACTTTGGGGCCATGGGGTGAGGAAAGCACGGGAACACAGAGCAGTGGCAGCCCTATATTCACCCCACGTGCCATACTTGTGCCCCACACGATCCTTAACCTCAGGGATGGGCTCCTACTGCAGAGCTGAGCCGTGGGTCGGGCATGGAACAGGGACATCGCAGCCCCCCGGACACCCCTGGAAATGGGGAGCCCACGGTGCCCACCCCAAACAGCCCCGGTCCTTCAAAGGCAAAGAAACTGCTGACTGTGGCAGCACTTCCCCAAGCTGGGGGGGGCAGGGATTGGCCCCCAAACAAGGAAGTGCTGCAACTTTTGGCCGCTCGCCCCATAAATAGAGCTGCCCCACGCGTGGGGGGCAGACTGGTGCTGCACTGGGGCCATCCCTCCCCACCCCCCAGGACGAGGTAATTCTGCTGCTCCCAGGGCACGGGGGTGGGCAGGGGGCTGCAAGGCTGGGAGTGCCCCCCATTTATGGGGTGGGGTTGGGACGCTGTGCTGTGCTCCCCGGGGGTGCGGTGTGGGGTTGGTGGGGTCCAAGCAGACGGGACCCTCGGTGGGGGGTGTGATGCTCCCAGCCCTGCGCTGAGGTGGTGCGGGGCAGCTGGGGGTCCTCAGCATCACCAGCATCAGCCTGGTGGTGCAGTGCAGGGGGCCGCCCCCCCATGGTGCCCCCCATGGTGCCCTCACACACCGATGCTCCCAAAGTGCTGTTTGCAGCCCCGCATCCCCGTTGGCCCCACGGAATTTGGGTGCAGCCGATGCGCTCCTCAGGCTCTGCTTCCCGTGGGGTCTTTGCCCCAGCAGCTCTCCTTCCCAAGGCTCTCCAAGGCTGGCCTCAGCCCTGGACCCCTCCAGAATATGGAGGCCATGGCTTTGCCCACCTCTTTCTCAGCAGTGCAGGCAGGACGTGTCCCCCCGCCCCCCGCGGGACCCCAGCCATGTCCCTGCTGCGTTGGCTCGTCCTCCTGACCGGCCTCGATCCCGCAGGTGGGGCTCTCGGTGGGGTCCCCTCTCCCCAGCGCACCCCCAGGGCTGCGGGATGGGGGTGGTGGGACGGGCACAGGGTGGGGAGGGGGCGGCACGGCTCCCGCAGTGCCGCGGGAGTCAATTCCCCCTTTCCTTCACGCTGCTTTCAGCCCTTGGTTCAGAGCCCCACAGCCGCGCTGGCTGCGGGCATCACCCCGAAGCGGGTTCCCCCCTCTTCATCTCCCAGCCTTTCTCCCCCCGTTGCCTCTCCCTTCTCCCCACCGTGGCTCAGCGCTGTGGGGCTGACGGGTGGCACCCACCCACGCGCCCCCCTCCCCTCGCAGCCCCCAGCACCTGGGGGGTCTCCTACCCCGAAACGCTGCACGGCGTCGCGGGTTCCTGCGTGGTGTTTCCCTGCACCTTCAGCTTCCCCAACGACGTCTCGGCCGCCGGCGGCGTCGTGGCCATTTGGTACTACGACTACGAGGGGCAGAAGGCGGTGGTGTTCCACTCCAACGACCAACAGGTGGATTCCAGGTTCAGGGGCCGCACGCAGCTCCTGGGGGACCCCAGCGCCAGCAACTGCACGCTGCTGCTGCGTGGGGTGCAGCCCCAGGACAGCGGGAAGTTCCGCTTCCGCTTCGAGATCGTGGATGGGGACCGCTGGTCGGCGGTGCGGGACGTGGTGCTGCGGGTGGAGGGTGGGTATGGGGCCAGAGCCCCATCTGTGTGTGTGTGTGTGTGCGTGTGTGTGTGTGCGTGCGTGTGTGTGTGTGTGTGTGTGTGTGTGTGTGTGTCTGTGTGTGTGTGCGTGTGTGTGTGTCTGTGTGTGTGTGCACGCGCGCGCCATCCCTGGGCTCTGCGCACCACGGACCCTTTGGGTCTCCTCGGTATCTCCACATCCCGGTCCTTGTTGGTCCCTCCGTAACCCCGATCCGATCCTTTTTGGTCTTTGTCTTCCCAATCCTTTCTGGTTTCCATATCCCCAAACCTTTTCTGTCTTTCCATGTTCCCATCATTTCTGGTCTCTCCATATTTCCACCCTTTGGGTCTCCTCCGTATCTCCGCCACGTTTGGTTTCCATATTCCCGACCCTTCTTGTTCTGCCCGTATCCCCAATTCAATTCTCTTTGGTCTTCGTCTTCCCAGTCCTTTTTGGCTCCCATATCCCAGTCCTTTTTGGTCTCTCCATATCCCCAGTCTAATCCAATCCTTTTTGGTCTTCATCTTCCCAATCCTTTTTGGTTTCTGTATCCCAATCCTTCTTGTTATTTCCATACCCCCACTCCAGTCCTTTTTGGCCTCCATATCTCCAGTCCTTTTGATCTGTCTGTACCTCCAATCCTTTTTGGTCTTTCCATGTCCCCCATCATTTCTGGTGTCCACACCCCAGTCCTTTTTAGCCTCTTCCATATTCCCAATCCTTTTTGGTCTCTTCCACGTCCTCAACCATTTTTGCTCTCTCCGTATTTCCACCCTTTGGGTCTTCTTCAGATCCCCAGATCTTTTTGGTTTCCACATCTCCAAACCTTTTGGTCTCTCCATATTTCCACCCTTTGGGTCTCCTCCATTTCCCCAATCCTTTTTGTCTCCATATCCCCAGTCCTTTTTGTTCTGTCCCCATCAACTCATCCTTCGTGTTTCGTCCCCCATATTCCTCATCCTTTTCGGTTTCCATGTCCCCAACCCTTTTTGGTCTCTCCATACCCCCACCATTTTTGGTCTCCATGTCCCCAGTCCTTTTTGGTCTTCACCTTCCCAATCCCCTTTGCTGTCCATATCCCAACCCTTTTTGTTCTCTCCGTATCAACTCGTCCTTTGTGTGCCCCCCATACTGCCCACCATTTTTGATCTCCGTCTCCCAGTCCTTTTTGGCCTCTCCATATTTCCATCCTTTGGATCTCCTCCGTATCCCCAGTCCTTTTGGTCTCCATACCCCCAGTCCTTTTTGTTCTCTCCATACCCCCACCATTTTTGGTCTCCATGTCCCCAGCCCTTTTTGTTTTCCGTATCCCAATCCCAATTGGTGTCTGCCTACCAACTCATCCTTCGGGTATCCCCCACATTCCCCATCATTTTTATTCTCCATATCCCCAATCCTTTTTGTTCTCCGCACACCCCCCACCATTTTGGCTGCCCGTACCCCCAACCCTTTTTCCCCTCTCCATCCCCAGACACCCCGGATCCCCCGAGCATCACCAGCAGCGGGGAGGTGTTGGAGGACACGCCGGTCACCCTGGAGTGCTCGTCTCCCTACGGCTGCCCGCTGGGTGCCATCACCCTGCGCTGGGTGGGTTTCGACCCGCGTGTGTCAGCGCTGTCCAGCCAGGTGCAAATGGACGCCAGAGGGGTCAGCCGCCACCAGAACCTCACGGCGTCCTTCTCCTGGAGGGATCACTCCAGGGCGCTGCGCTGCGAGCTGCTGCTCGGCTCCCACAGCGCGAGCGCGGAGCTGCTGCTGCGGGTGCGACGTACGTGGGGGAAAAGGGTGGGAAAAGGGTGGGGATGGGGATGGGAATGGGAAAAGGGTGGGGATGGGGACAGGGATGGGAA